GGGCTCCCGGCAGGTGAGCGGGCTCCCCGCAGGTGTGCGGGCTCCCGGCAGGTGAGCGGGCTCCCCGCAGGTGTGCGGGCTCCCCGCAGGTGTGCCCGGGCCGTGCCCGCCGTGCCAGCAGCGCCGGCAGGGCGGCAGGGCGGGCACGGCCGGGCTACACCCGGCCCAGCATCCGCGCGATCCACCAGTTGCAGGGCATGATGATGCGGCAGATGACCCTCCCGCCCTGGTAGCAGTAGGGGTAGGGGTAGTAGCCCAGCAGGGGCTCGCAGACCCGCCGGCAGTAGCGGTTGGCACGGCGGCACTGGGCACAGCAGTAGCCTCGCTCATCCCACAGAGGGTGGAACTCCAGCCCGTTCTCCGACTGCCAGGAGGAGACAGAGTCAGGCAGGGAGGGGGCTGTGGGGCACCCCGGGGGCGTGGGCAGGACAGCCTGGGAGGGCACTCTGGGCACCCCAGGAGAGGAGCAGACACGTGGAGACACCACACGCCTTCCCTCCTGCGGCCCAGGCTTCACCCATGGGTTGGTGACAGGGCTGCGGACGCCTGGTGGCACCTGAGCTCCTCCATGGGACGTGCACATCCTCCCCACGGGCATGCACAGGGCACCCCAAGGAGCACAGCCGGGGCACCCTTGACCGTGGCCGGGCTCGCCAGGGCTGTGGCCGGGGCAGCCCAGGGTGGCACTCCCTCACTCACGTAGTCGTTGACGGGCAGCTCCTCCTCGGTGAGCTGCCGTGCCCGCCGCCTGGGCCCTGCCTGCCTGTCCTGCTCCAGCTCCTGCTCCTGCTCGCTCCCCCCGTCCAGCCAGCTCTGGCTGTCAGCCAGCAGCTCAGCCTCTTCTTCCTCTGCCCCTTCCAGGTTGGCCAGCTCGGGAGCTGCAGAAAGAGTCCAAATGTTACTGTCAAGAACCACGGAACAGGGGGACAAATGCAGCAGCAAGAGTTAATGTCTCTACCAGAATCCGGTGCCAAGGTTCATGAAAAGCAGACCAGTGCTGCATTGCCCCCTGCTCTCACCCAGCCTGGGGCAGGGCTGTAGGAGATATGGCCCATTCCATCCCCATGCCCATGGGTAGGTGTTGGCACCTCCTGCATGGTGCCGTGGGTGTGCAGAAGCACCTCCTCCCGATGGGCTCTGCTGCTGGGGGCTGGATTTGCAGGGCCCCATCAAAGCAACCTGATTTGGGGCAGATCCTGCCCAGTTTCAGCTCTCTCAGCTTGGGAAAGAACCACAGCAGCAATAGTTTCCTGTGCTGGGGAAGGTGCCAGACAGCCTGGGGACACTGCTGTCCTGGCAAAGGCTTTGGATGCTCCTTGGTGACCCAGCTGGCCTCACGGAGCCAGGACACTGCTGCAGGTGGGTCTAACAGCAGGGGCAGGCAGCAGAGAGGGGACAGCAGTCGGGACACCACCTCCCTGTGCACGGGGAGCTCTGGTGCCCACCTGCCCTCCGGAGCACTGAGCTGCCAGTCCCTGTGAGCGCTGCCCTGCGCCTCTGTGGCTGCAGAGCACAGGGAGTTTGCTCAGCAGGGACTTTTAAACTGGCTCATTCGGCTGGAAGTGGGTTAGAGAGAGCAGGTAATTACACCAGCACATCTCAGAGGCCACAACCTCTGCAAGGGCTCTGTAGTGAGCAGCTGGAGGTGGCAACCCCGCCGTGTGATTTAGATGCAGATGTCTGCTCACACTCTGATGTTCATGTGGTGACGAGGATTTAGGCGTCCCAGTTTCCAGCAGTGCTGCTTTCTTTGCAGGTACAAGGGATTATTTTTTTTTTCCCCTTGTTATGAGGAGGGTGGCCACTCTGCAAAGTGCAGGGCAGCGGGGAGCTGGCAGAAACAAGTGCTTTGTAGAGAGGAACTTCAGCCCCTGCTATTACATCGGCCATGATCGCCTGCGGTCACGGGCAGCACTGTGCTCATGTCCGAGATGTACAACGAGGCTGGGAAAGTGGATTCCCACCGTGTCACAGAGGGGCACGTGGCAGGGACCACAGGTGTGTGACAGGGCTGCTCCCAGTGAGAGGGCTCATGGGCCCCTCGGGGAGGAGATGGCTCCTCGTACCTGCTATTGGCGTGGGGTGGATCCAGAAGATGGTCATGTTTTTGCAGATGTCAAAAATTTTGGAGCTCTTCAGGAATTCCTTGTTCTGAATGGGCTTTTCCCCAGGCACCCAGACCACAGACTGCTCAAAGTAGGTGGTGGTGATTTCTTGTCCCTGGAAGAAGAGCAGGACATTACCCTGGCGTGGTGAGACACCCTGTTCCCACCACTGGCTGCTTCTCCTCCCCTTGGCTTAGAGGCACCTCTCTCCTCCCAGAGAGCAGCTGGACTTCACCTGCCTTGGTGAAGTCCTCACGGGATGCACGGGCGATACCCCAACAGCCCTCACCACCCTGCTCTCCTCTCTCTTAGTTCATCACCCAAGACCCTTTTCCTGCACAGTCCCCACTATCTGGAAGAGCCTTTTGGAGCCCCCCTAGTCATTTAAAACACCAGATTAAAACACCTCTGCTCTACTTTGCTCCCAGGATTTAATTCCTCTCTCCTTCTGCTACTGATTTCTTGATCGAACGCTTTAATTTACTCCTCACAGAAATTCTTTGCACGCTGTATTCTGTAATTTATACCACATGTCTCTGCCGTTGCATTAGTCCATGGTGTGTTTTGGCAGGCACTTAGGGAGGGAGATATATAAAGATTATGGGCTGGGTCTGCTCTGAGCTCTCTGCCAAGGCAACGTTGTCTGTGTTGGTGGTGGTAGCCCATAGAGCAAGCTGGCAAAAAGTGTTTTTCTCTCCAGAAGGCATCTAGAGCTGTATATCTCTTTTATAGAGTTTTTCCTTATGGCTTTGGGAAGTCATAGGAAGGAGCCAACACAACCTGACCCCGTCTGGGTCATTTTTGGAGTCTCTGGCAGAAGCTGCAGGGTCAGGGAGGTGCTGCCTGCAGGACCTGGCAGTGTGCAGGCTCCAAGAAGACATGACTGCAGCTTAAATCTACATTTTTCTCACTGGCTTTTACATTTCAGCTCTCTACCCGGGGCAATGTTCTGCTAAAGCCTGGGAAGTTATATCCCTTTTACGACGGTAGCTGAAAAGATCTATTAGCTTCTTAGGGCATAATCAAAGAATCGGTGTCTGGGAATTTGGGTCATGATTCAGGGAAATGTTTCTGCCCACGCTTCATTTCAAACACGTGTCCTGCTGGCTTTTTATCTGCAGCAGCTTCCCTAGGGGGGATTCAATCTGCTAACACCCGTCCCCTTGCAAATGGGGAGGCAGGAAGGCTGTGCCACCACTGGGACCTGGGCATGGGGACGGGGACAGAGGATCACTGCTGTCACGGGACTGAGCTGTCCCTCCAGGTCACACTGCCAGGAAGGGGTTAAATCATGGAGTCCACGCTTTTTCCATGCAGCAGGCAAGGCGTGAGGGTGCAGGAAGCAATCAGGCACACCAGTGGGACATGAGGTCCATGCAGGACAAGGAAATGGCCCCAGCCTGGTGCTTCCCATCTCCCAGATCTGCTTGCCTAGAGTTTTCTCAATTTACATTTCTCTTTTATATCCCTTATTTCTGCCTCACTCTGTTTGGAAACATGAGGCTCAAATCTTGGAGAAAACAATTTGATTGACTTTTTGGTGCCTGCTAATCCTGAGCTGCCTTACGACCTTTTGACTACAACAGGATTATTGTTCTTGATCTCTGGTATTGTGCTGAGAGGCTTTTGTCTGTTGCTTTCTAATCCAATCTCTTTTCACTTGTTTTTATAAGCAATCCTCTGAAATAAGATCAGTTTATGAAGCGATCACAACTCATTATTTCTTCATTGCAGCATCTCTGGGAAGGCTGGAGCAGATGGGAAGGCGGCAGGAATGGCAGCCCCAGTGGCAGGGAGAGGAGTGGATTTCACAGAGCAGGGGATCCCTGTTTTATTCACCTACCTCCAGCTCAGGGATCTTGGCCTCCGTCGTCTCAGGTAGGACTTTAGTCTGAGTTTTGATGAAGCATTTTTGAAGTCCCACAAAGAAGATGCCAGTTATTCCCTACAGGATCAAAGCAAACACCCAAAAAGCAGTCAGGGCAAAGGGTAGGAGGTAGGGTACAGCTGGAGGAGGAAGGTTTAGTCATATTTTTCCTGTTGCTATTTTTGTGCCAGTTCCGTTCGGCAGCGGTGCTAAGATGTACTAACAGGTTCTCATAAGGGATATTGCATTTTATGGTTTGGGAGAACTGGGCTTTTTATAAATATTTTAAGGCAGGTAGTAATAAAATTTTACTTGGCTCCTCTTCTCCTGATAACTATCATGAGCTCTCATTATAATAAATAAAAATATGCAGAATAGCATCTGACCGTTATGGTTATATGAACATCCAGCCCCCAGTTCCTGCTAGGTTATTAGCTCAAAACTTTACCATATGTCACTGCACAGGGTATTTCCCTACAAATTTTAATTAGGTTTCACAGAGAGCCTTCTTTAGTGTCATGAGGCTTTAATGCTCTCCAGACAGACAAATGCACTGAGCTCAGGTGGACTGATGATCGTGGTGTTCTTTTGCAAGGGTAAATCCAATAACTAGCTCTGGATTCTAAGTTGTATTTAATTGGAACTGAACCACACCACCATTAAATACAGGTGGAAGCTTATGTAGATAAGACATCTCCTCTCCTCTGAGAGCATCCCCAGCGTGTCTGGGTCTTGCCCTCCCCGATGCAGGAATAAATACTGCTGGGACTTGCTCCAGTGACTTCCCAGAGTCCTGCAGGGTCCATAGTCCTGCTGCAGGACTGCAGGCTCTCGGGGACAACTGCCCCACTCACGTTTTTGAAGTCATGGATCTCCAGGATCTCCTCACTGCCGTTCCCGCTGCTGAAGGTCTCTGTCCTGGCCAGAGGGTCAATCTCCATCACGATCTTCTTCTTCTGGCCGTTGCTGAAGAACGTGTGCTCCATGTCATAAACCTGGGAGGCCAAAGTCACACAGGGCTCAGCTGAGCACCCCTCTGGTTTCACAGGCTGTCCAGCGGGCAGACAGGCTGTGCTGGGTGTGTGGCACCACTGCTGGGGACCCTGCCGTGGGACTGGTGCTCCCTCACAGCAATCACCGGGACAGCACGAGGGGAGGCAGCTCCCAGGGGGAGCCTGGGCTGGTGAAAGGGCAGGCTGCAGCCAGGATGAGGGACTGAGCATCAAGTCTGGGATGTGTGTCAAACCTGGGAGGAGATGCACCTCCTACACCTGCAGCAGGAGCTTTGCCCAGCTCAGCCTTCGCTGGTGCTTTCTGTGGCATGAGCCTGGTGACATCCAGGCTGGACTGAAGCCCCGAGCCCACAGGCACTTCATTCTGCCTTCTCCCTGGCCTGCTGTTCCACACTGCATCCCTGGCTCCTTTGCTCCATCACGGTGTCCCGGCTCACCTGCTCCCCCGTGTCCTGCCCAGCTTACTCGCTCCAGCTCTGTGCCTTCTGTTTTTCCTGAAAGGCAGAGGATGAGCCTCTCTCTGCCTGGAGGAGATCAAGGATTGCCTGCGGATCAAAGACCTCCTGGAGGCTGCTGCAGAGCTCCGGCTTTGGCAGCGCTTCCCGGCGGCGCGGGTCCCCGGGGAGCAGCCGGCGCTCCCGCTGGCAGGGCAGCCTCGCTCTCTGCATGCCTGACCCTTGCGGGATGGATGAGCAGCGGCAGATGCTATTTGAAGCACAAAAACGATCCTGCTGGCGGGCCCTGGGGAGCCTCGCTTCCCGAACGGAACTGCGTGGAAGAGAAGGGCTCGTGCAAATCCCCTCCAGTTCACCAGGCAGGGATGGAGGCACGGGGATGGGAGAGCCCTGCTCATCCCACGGCATGGCCGTGGAACCAGGGCAGGAGCGTGCTGGCCCCACTGGTGTGGGGCAGGAGCTCTGCCCTTAGTGCCAGCCCAAACCCCTTTCACAGTGCCCGGGTTCCTGCACATCCCTCCCCTTGGGGTTCAAAGCCTCTTAGCAGTGTTCCAGCATTGGTATCTCCTTTGGGTGCAGAACTGCCTGTGCAGACGGGAGTGATGGGAACATTCACACCCCTGCTCAAAGGTTAGAGGAGTGATGTGCGCCTGGGCAGGCACGGACACCTCCTGTCGGTCTGCAGGAAGACTTTGTAGAGATATACAGCTCTCCATGGATTTTATGATACGGTAAAACAGTCTGAAGCCTAAAATGGGTGAAAGGCGGCTGGTTTTGACTGACAAAATGCACCCAGTGCCATAAATCATCTCAAGGAGGGCAGGATCCCGGGTGGCACCTTACCTTCAAGTACAAAGAATTACTCTGGCCAGCACAGCGGCCAGCTAACCCACTTGGGCTTTGCCAGCTCTGCGCTGCTCACAGCGCTATGAGATGTTTTATAGGGCTAAAAATGACACTTGCTGGTGAATGGTTGAATTATGGCCCTCTGCAAGGCTGTGATGAACCCCTCGTTAGCTGAATCATCAGCTGTGCTGGCTGGTGAGGAGGCTGCTGTGCAGAGGGCAGAGCCGTGTCCAAGGCCACCCCTCGGAGGAACAACCTTCTTTCAAGTTTTTTTCCACTCTCCAGTTACATGAAGGAAGCTTGAAGGGTTTCATCTTCTTTAAAGAGTTTAATTCCTCTTGGCTGATATTTTTGAGTGTTACCAACTTCCAGCCCCCCCAGCCTGTTTGTCCTGAGGACTCCCGGGCCAGCTGGAGAAGCCCCACAGGGACAGGGACAGGGCAGTGCTGGGCTCGGGGAGTGTCTGTGTGCAGCTCTGCTGCAGGAACAGCTCTCCTTTCTCGTGGCCTCACACCCCACTTGCCTGCCCATCAGGTGTTGGGGAGTGCTGCATGGACCCCGTCCTCCACCGGTGAGCACACCGCGGGCCGGGGCTCTGGATGTCCTTCCTGAGGCTGTGGCATTGTCTCTGCTTGGAGCAAACCGCCCCTCCAGGGGTTAACAGCCTCTTCCCCTCACGGCTGGCATCACCCCTGTTTTTCTAGGAACAGTAGAGACTTTATAATCGTCTTGGCAGGATTCTGGAGGAGCATATGGCTTTTATTGTTTTTCCTTTTATTTCAGGGGGTATTTATTTCTATTTGCTGATAAGAAGATAAAGTTTCCAGCGAGCAGGATGCTTCCTCTGCCCGGCAGGAGGGCGGCCTGGCCAGGCTGGAGCAGCTCCAGGACAGTGCAGGGAGCACATTGGAGATGCCAGCGTGGGAAAGAGGCTGCCTTGGCTGTGCACAGGAATTTTGGAGATGTTCTCAAGAGCCAGCAAAACCCACTGGAGATGGGGTGCAGAGCGGGGCCTCCTGGATGAGCATGGAAATTCGAAGGAAAGGAGGATGAGGGGCAGCAGGCAGGCTGTGGGTTTCAAGGTTAAAGGATTTGCTTGGGGCGTGGGATAAAGAAGGGCTTTGGCAGCACTGCCAGGATGGCGGGCGGCAGCGGGCAGGGACGGCTGGGGATGCACAGCCCTGCTGCCGCCCCGGCACCACAGCAGCGTCCGTCTGCAGCTGGCAATAAAGGAGCCCAATCCAGTTAGCAGCAGCTCCTCCAGAAGCTAATCCGTCTCACCGTCCCTCACATTGCAGACACATTAAAGTAAGAAATATAATCCATGACAATCAATCACCACTGCGTCCTGGCTTTCTCTCCTCTTTATGCGGTGGCATAATGACTTTTCCACCGGTTTCTGGCAAGATAATTGAAATGAAATGGAAAATATTTTCTTACTTGTCATAAAATTTGCTGCCGGTGAAGTAAGAGAAACTTTAACTCTTCGTGGCGTAGCTCCCATCCCCTGTAATTGTCAACTGGGGAAAGAAAGCGGTGACAGGGGAAAAAAACCAGCCTGCATAAAGTAAAAGCTAGTTATGAATAATACAAAGATTTTTAAAAGTCCCATGAATACCTGTGGTCTGAGAAAATGCATTTTGTGAAGTTGCCTGGGTTTTGGAGAGTTGTTAAAAGTTTCAGCGAGTCAAGGGGAGGGGGACAGCTCTGTCTGGGGAAGCAACGCTCTGAAATACCGGATCAAAGGGTTTTTACTTACTTTTCTGGGTGCTGGGTTCCAGAGGTATTTGACACCAAAAAATATCAGAATAAGGGAAAGGAGCAGCACGCTGAAGAGCAGTCCACAGAGCTGGTACCTGGGGCAGCTCTTCTTCGGAGGCTTGGCTGCCTCTGCCTATTGATGACAAAGCAGCGCTAGCCAGGCTGTGCCCGGGGCTCCCGGCAGGACGAGGGCACCACGTCTCAGCCGTTTCTGGCACCGCAGGCATGCAGGGGGCAAGGCAAGCCGTGCACTCACGTCCAGAAAGCGGCAGTCCTCCGGGCTGCGCCGAGCCGAGCCTCCCATGGTCTCCTCCGTGTGCGAGGAGCCAGCCCGCTCCGAGGTGGAGTTACAGACGCTCTGGCTGCACACGCGGTGGGAAGGCTGGGCCACGGCCACCCCCACGGAGGGACAGCCAGCTGTGCCACAGCTGCTGGCCCCACGGCCCCGCCGTTCCCACGCCGCTGGACGCGGAGCCCAGCGTGGTGGCTGTCACACGCGGCCAGGGCCGCTCTCCTTCGCTCTCTGCTTCTGCCCTGTGCTGGGGCCCACGTGCCAATGGCTGGAGGTGCCCACACTGCCGGTGCCCCATGAGCCCGGGGACAGGGACACTGCTGCGGTGTTCATATGTGTGTGGGAACAGCCCCAGAGCTGCCACTGGGGTCCCTGCATGGCAGGGGACATGGGCATGGCAGGGACATGGGCATGGCAGGGACATGGACATGGCAGGGACATGGGCATGGCAGGCCACATGTGTGTGCACACAGGTGAGCACAATGTGTGCACACAGGTGAGTGCGATGTGTGCACACAGGTGTTGTGATATGTGCACATAGATGAATGCAATGTGTGCACATAGGTGTATTTGATGTGTACACACAGGTGTATTGGATGTGTGCACACAGGTGAGTGTGATGTGTGCACACAGGTGAGTGCAATGTGTGCACACAGGTGAGTGCGATGTGTGCACACAGGTGTTGTGATATGTGCACATAGATGAATGCAATGTGTGCACATAGGTGTATTTGATGTGTACACACAGGTGTATTGGATGTGTGCACACAGGTGAGTGTGATGTGTGCACACAGGTGAGTGCAATGTGTGCACACAGGTGAGTGTGATGTGTGCACACAGATATGTGGTGTGTGCACACAGGTGTGTGTGATGTGTGCACACAGGTGTATTCCATGTGTGCACACAGGTGAGCAGGCTGTATGTGGCCATGCGTGCCCTCCTGTGCAGCCCGTGTGTGTGTGGGGAGACCTCAGCTCTCCCTCTCATGCACAGCCTTACCCCAAAGTCAGCCTAGCCAGGAATTTCCTGACTAATTTTTTTTTTCCTTTTTTTTCTATGTTCAAAAATTTCCATTTGTTGAAGTCGTAGCGTTTCTTCATGGAAATGAACCCATCTTAAGAAAGGCTTTCAGAAATCCAGCGTGAGGTTTCTGGTCTGAACAGGATGAGACTCCCTGGTGTAGAAGAGCTGGCATGGACTTTTTTTCCAAGCTGTTTACTCTAATAAAAACCCAAAGTGCATCATGCACTAATTAAAATTGCACTGAAAAAAGAAAATCCACATCGAATTTTGCTCAGGATGAGAAATGGAGAAAGAAATTGCTTTTAGCAGGTCTGGCACTGGCTTTGTGAGCATTGGGATGTTGCTGCCTGCAACCAGGGGTCAGAAGTGGAGATTCTGAATAGCCTGGGGAGAGCACTGTGCACACGTGTGTGCTGGGGGTGTGCCCTGGTGTGCATCTGCTCCCTGCAAAGGGTTTGGGCTCCTGGCCCCAGAGCAGCAGGGAATCCTCACCCCACAGCCCCTCAGCAGTCCAGGGCAGTAAAACACAGTGGTGGGGGGTTCAAATTTGGGATGGCAATAACAGAATCCTACTGACAAGGTCATTTGGAGGAGAAAAAAAGCTCTTTTTAAGGGAAAGCAATCATAGGCAGCCTTTGAAAACATCCTGAGGGGTTTTGTAAATCTAAATGCAGCAAATCTGTGCAGACACCACGTTTGTCTGTCTCCACTTCCCACCAGAAAGTTCCATCTCGGAAGCTTTTGTTATTCACTGGAAACTCAAGTATTTGAAAACATTCTCTTTTCTTGTCAAAATTAGAGTTTCAGAGGAAAACTTTGGAGCAGCTCTACTGAAAGATGGTTCTGATTACAGGAAAGAATTACAGCAGTGCTGCTAAGCAGACATAATTGATCAGCAGATCTTCACCATATCCCCCACTCAAGGCACAGGAAACACTGCAAATACCACTCATAAACCAAATTAGGCATTATTATTTTATTACTGTTGTAAGGTAAATGTCAAGCTTTTTAATGGCAATCACTGTAACTCCATCAGGAGTCGGGTGTCTGAAATAGCTGCAAGAGGTGAGAAGCTCCCAGGGCTGGAGTTCATAAAACTCAATAAATATCACAGGCCCCTTCCAGCGCCGGCAGAGCTGGGATGGAGAGGCCAGGGTGGGTGGTGGGGGACCCAGGGCTGGGCTGGAGCCCTGCTGGTGCTGCAGATGGGCACTGCTGCCTGGAGGAGCAGCGGGGTGGGCACGGGCACCGCTCCCACACCCACGGGCACTGCTCGTGCACCCACGGGCACTGCTCACACACCCACGGGCACCGCTCCCACACCCACGGGCAGTGCTCGTGCACCCACGGGCACCGCTCACACACCCACGGGCACTGCTCATGCACCCACGGGCACTGCTCGTGCACCCACGGGCACCGCTCCCACACCCATGGGCACTGCTCGTGCACCCACGGGCACCGCTCCCACACCCACGGGCAGTGCTCACACACCCACGGGCAGTGCTCGTGCACCCATGGGCAGTGCTCACACACCCACGGGCAGTGCTCACACACCCACGGGCAGTGCTCGTGCACCCACGGGCACTGCTCACACACCCACGGGCAGTGCTCGTGCACCCACGGGCAGTGCTCACACACCCACGGGCAGTGCTCACACACCCACGGGCACTGCTCGTGCACCCATGGGCAGTGCTCACACACCCACGGGCAGTGCTCACACACCCACGGGCAGTGCTCGCGCACCCACGGGCAGTGCTCGTGCACCCACGGGCAGTGCTCACACACCCACGGGCAGTGCTCACACACCCACGGGCACTGCTCACACACCCACGGGCAGTGCTCACACACCCACGGGCACTGCTCACACACNGGGCACTGCTCACACACCCACGGGCAGTGCTCACACACCCACGGGCACTGCTCACACACCCATGGGCACTGCTCACACACCCACGGGCACGCTCAGCACAGAGCGGGCTGCCCCACGGAGGGCAGGGGCAGGATCCCAGCCCTCCACACTGCTGCTCCCCCAGAGTGAACAGCCAGCCTGGATCGGGGCTTTGAGAGCAGCAAACCCCTCTGCAACCCCTGGGGTCCCCCCTCAGCCCCTGTGGCCGTGTTACAGACACTGGATCCTGACAGGAGACACATGGTTGGGATGCAGACAGGGGCAGAAACTGCAGGATGACACTCATAAAAAATAGTGGGGTTTTTTTCACCCATTCCCCAGTGCTCTGGCTCAGACTTCAGGGTTTCAGAGAAAAAAAAAAAAAAAGTATTTTTATGAAAAGACAATAATTTTGGGGGAAAATCTCTTAGTATCCTTAAGATGATAAGCAGGTTCTCTGTATAAAAGCAGTTCTGATGAAAATCTCCCATCAATGCCAATGGAGAGGGAACAATTACTAATTTTCCATGAAGCTAATGAGAGCGAGTGTATATGACAGGGGAGAATTTAATCTGATGTGAACTGAGGAAGAGAAGCAATACTGATATTAATGTGTGACTAATTGATACCCAGAAGAACATTTGAAATGATTAAAAGGCATTTGATTTTTATACAGGACAATAAGAGGCTCATTGGCTATGACTGGTGCATCCTTTCAGTTTTCTACTCTGTGTTCCAATTTGCCCAGAAAAATCTATCATATCTGCAGCGTAGCTTGACTGCTGCATAAAATCTCTGTGCCTGGAAATGTTATAGCGAGAAATTCCTCCTGGACAGCGCAAAGGATTGTACACGGTGTGAGCGGGGCTGAGCAGCCTGGCAGAAATAAAATAGGTCCCCAAACCACTAAAAAGCAGCTCCTCAAAGCAGTGGGGTTTGGGCAGCAACCTCCAGCTGAAAGCCCCTCGTGATTAATATCGTGCTCTTTGTTATAATGAAAAACTCATTAAGGTCAGTGGCAGCATCTCTGAGCAGCACTAAATTGGAACGATGGAGACAGTAAAGTTAAAAATGAGCCATAATATTAATGTGGATAGTGAATTAATTGGGCAATTCCACAGGTAGTGAGTAAATCATATCATTTACTGTGGCACATGGTGCCAGGCAGCTCTCACTGCTGGCAGGGGTGGCAGCTGCTCCTGGCTGGGGCCAAGGAGCGACACAGAGCTGCAGCACCCGAGGGACCCCACTGTGCCCACCTCCAGTGCAGCCCTCGAACTTGCCTGCTGCTGGGAGAGCTCTCTGTAGGGAAAATGCCTCTTGCTGTGCTGTTTTTGTGCCTCAGCCCCGAGCACGTCCTGAAGTGCTGAAGTGCTGCAGCCCTGCTCCAAGGGGCTTTTCCCTCCACCCTCAGCTGTGCCGCCTGTGTCCCTCTGCAGTGCACCCACCGGTGTTACCAGACTGCTGGCAGGCTCGGGGAATGGCTGCTCCTCTCCTTTGGGTGGCTCTCCCAGGAAAGGCTTCCATCAGAAGATGTGCAGGAGCACCAGGCAGCCCTCGGCTCTCTCCTGCTGCTGTTGTGCCTTGTGCTGGGATTTGGGGCCGAGGGCAGGATTTGTACCGGGGTGCAGCATTTGCAGCACGTGGCTCAGGCTGACAGCTCCCTCTCCACTTCCAGCATTATGGACAGCAAACAGAGAAAGGGAAAAATCACATCTAACAGAAAAGTGCTCATTAGCCAGCGCCTGATTACCCAGGACCATCTTTGCTTCAAACCGTCCAATTTTCAGTAACACTTGCCAGATGAGAGGACGTGTGCCTCCTCTTATCAGCCAGCCTCAGCCGAAGGTTTCTGTAAGGGAGGCTTCAGTAATTGGCCTATTCATCATTCATTGTTTATCTTAAGTTCACATCGTTGTGGGGAACTCCAGAGACATCCTTGATCCAAGTTAAGAAACTTAATCATTATGATAAAACTGCTTGGGGAGTTGGAGTTCATGTCGGAGGCGCACGTGGCCATGTGGCACTCCAGCAGCTGCTACTCACAGCAAATTACTCAAACCTGACAAAGCTTTGGGAGAGAGCAGAAAGAGATAAATTCGTGGTGGCCGTTG